CTGCTCCTATTTTGTATTGTATAATGGACTTTTGAGCTTGAATACTGTTCGTTAGGGTTAGGGTCTTGGTGTAAAATGTAACATAACTTTACACTTTTTGTAACATAACTTATCAAAAGTGTAAATTGTAACATAACTTGTGTAAAATGTAACATAAATAGTGTAATTGTAACATAAGTTTATTTGAGGTTAAAAAATCGATCTCTTTGATTTTGCTGATTATTTTAACCCGAATTTACTCTGTTTTGAGATTTCTAACCCTCTGGGTTTCAGCGTTCTATCTTTATTATTAGCTGAGATAGTACTAACTTATGTTACATTTTACACAATTATTTACCAAATATTTTTATATCTTAAATCCCTAAATTTAAATAATTTAAGTATCTAAAATTAATTATTAAAAATTTTTATTTTGTTTTAGGGTAAAAATTATTAATTATTCCTAGAAATAATTTTGATATATGACCTTAATGTTTATGTTACATTTTACACTTTCTAACCCTGGGGTTAGAACGAAATTATTGAAATTGATAGATTTTGACCGTTTAATGATCTGGTTCACTTTTTATTGATATGTTTTACCCTGATAATGAAAGATGAAACAGGAAAGAACAAGTTTTGACCTTTATATTTAAATCACCATCAAATTATTTTTTTTTAAATAACATAGTATTTAGAGTCTGAAATAATGAATATATGTAGCATGAATAGGAAATACCTTGTTTCTAATTGTATTTGAAACAGACATCCTAAATTATAGAGTAGATTTCTAGTTTCAATTTATATCCTCCACTTAAATATTCCAGGGTTTGATTGATTTATTCCTTTCTGTAAACTTATACAGATGCTATTCAAAAAATATATAAGTTAAACGTATAATCTTAGTCAATGTGTTCATTTTATATAGCCCTTTGTTTGATCACCTTTCCATTTAATGGTATATTTGTGGGAAATATTTTGATCTAAACACAACAAAAGATCCAATGTATCAAGTAATAAAAATTTATTAATGAATTTCAATATATTAATTTTTAGAAATCCTCCCCAGACACTGTTCTCTTTACCTGAAAAAAGATACATAAATGAGATGATTTCATTTTGGAATCCTTGCTATCAAAGAAAACGGAAAATTTCAATAACCAGTATAATTAAAGTACTGATATCTATGCTTACTTTTATCTTAATCTTCATTCAGTCCTAACTCTGTCTGCTATCCTTTTCCCGTAGGAATCCGGGTATACCTCCTTGATTCTTTCCACTATGCTCCTCCCCTCCTCAGTTTCTTCCAGTCTTTCAATTACCTGTTTATTTTTGATTGGTTTGGTTAAGTCTACAAAAGAAATTACATTGAAAACAAATTATAATTGATCAGTAGATGTTTATGTTTGAGTATTTAAAAACTGACTGTATTTGTAAAACTTTGCTTCTGACCATCAATCAAGTCTTTGTTCCTTGCTACTATTGTGCTGGCCTCCTCCTTCGAGAACAGCCGTCTCTTATGGTCTTGTGGGCATCCCTCGGGCTATAACAAGTAATTGTTCTTTTAAATGTATTTAATGTAATAATTGTATAATTTAATAGTAATGAAACGTAGGCATTTAAAACCATACCAGAGCAAGTGTATCTTCCACTTCTTCAATGATGGGCCCCTCACAGCTCTCACCCTCAATTTCCCTGACCTTATGTAATAAAAATACAACATGAAATACAATCCATACTACTGTCCCTAAATGCAATTTTATCTACATTTTCATGCTTATCTGTGAATTTAAATAACGTGCTAACAGGTTAAAAAAAAACTCACCTCCGCATTTACATTTCGCATGACGTTTTGTATAACTCTTGTAATTTTGACCGCCTCAGCTTTCTTTTGTGTCAATAGGTAGTACGAGTCCTGGGTGGTAGGTCTATGATTCATTTGGCTAGCGAGCATATCTCTCGCAAGTGGAAACTTAGATCTAACCTGTAAGGAGAAGGTATGCATATTTATTCATCTACTAACTAGCTATCTTTCTTTTTTTTCCATCAATCTGACTTAAAGTATTAACTAAAAAAATACTAATAAGTAACTTACAGAGGTTGCTGCGGCCTTTCTAAGTTGGGTGGCTGACAAATGTTTGGTTTGATGGGCACCTTTCCAAATCGATTTGATGGCTTTATCGACAGCTGATGGTGTCAGCTGTGCAGGGCTGTCCGTCTTTGATGGGTAGGTTAAAAAGACAGGGCTCTTCTCCTCTTCCAGCTCGCTGTGGAATCCTGGCAGTCGTGGTCTTATGCTGCTTAGGAAAATGTTCAGGAATTTCCACATTTCGTTAGAAATTACCAGGGTTATAGGGCTTATGTGCCCAGTCTTATGTTGAGAAATCTGAAAAAAAAAATATTAAAATATCATGAATCTTCCTTCACATGACTGACATATATCTTTTATATAAAGAAATCCCTATCCCTGTCCCTCAAAAAAAGAAAATAAAGTAAGACTTACAACCGCTACATGGGCGTTGTCTTTATCCTCTGCGTTTTTTATGTGTCTCAGCTTTAAATTCACCAGGGCCCCCACTCTTTGTCCATTGTTGATTAGGAGGTTAAGCATCAGGAAATTCCTGGTCAGCAGGTACTGCTCTTCAGATAGCTCCTCTCCTGTTGCAGTGTGCTCAAACTCACTGAAGAGGTTCTGGGCATCAGAGTAAATCTTTGAATTCTCAAAGGCCCTTATATCCGGGTTCATACCTTGATTCCAACTGTTCGCAACACTTAGTTAGTCGAAAAATCATGTCGCAACTAAGCAAGGGCCAATTAAGGGATTTCGACATGTCGCGACTCCTGATTGACTCTTATTTTTGTTGAATACGTATCAATCTGAAATATTTTGCTTTTTTATAAGTACGGTTTACTTAGACGAAGGAAAATAAATCTTATTTCTACCTTAATTCTTTGTAACCTGAAGAAATGAAAAGAAAATGTATTTTTGTTGGGACTTAGAAATTTTCACCTTAAATGCTCCTTACCATCGAGCAGGGGTCATTTTGAGAGAAGGTGACAATTATTTTCTCTAGATTCAGGTTATTAATATTAATTGAAAGTAGATTTTCCTCTAATATCAAATATAAATTAAATGATAAACAAAAATAAGCCAAAAAGGGAAATGTAAAATATGACTCTGGGGTTAGAAAGTGTAAAATGTAACATAAATCAATTTTTGAACTTTATGTCCTTATTAAATTAAAAGAAAATAGAAAATGCATTGAAAAATCAAAATATACTATGTTTATAATTGTTCGCAGCACTCGGTTACTTGAAAAATCATGTCGCAACGTATTAAGAAAGACTTCAGTGATTTCGTCATGTCGCGACTCCTGATTGAGTCTTATTTTTGTTGAATACGCATAAACCTTATATTTTTTGCTTTAAAATTGTACGGTTTACTAATACGAAGGAAAATAAGTCTTATTTCTATTTAAAATCCCTGTATTTTAAAGAAATAGGAGGAAATTGTATTTTTGTTGGGACTTAGAAAAATTCACCTAAAATGCTGCTTACCTCTGAGCAGACGTCATATAAAAGATAACTGAGAGATTCTGGTATTATATTTTTATTGTTTATCTTAAAGTAAAGTATTTTTTCCTAAAATATCTCTTTCAGATTGATTTATAAGAAAATAGGGCCCAAAAAGGAAATGTCATAAATATTTATGTTACATTTTACACTTTTGGTTTTTGTCCATACTCAGTAACTAGGCCCTAAAGGTCATTTAGAAAACGCTACAGTTTGTGTTTGTCACCATAACAATGTCCTCTAAGAAGGGTTATGACCTACTTCTATATTTAGACCTAACCCCAGACCAAGACCAAACTCTCTTTATATGATATAAAAAGTTATGTTACATTTTACATTTTTCAAACCCTTGTTATTTTTTTGAGGATGCTCATAGCCATGAAAAATTATGCCACCTTTTTAGAGATTTAAAAATGCTTTTAGGACCCACAAAGAGTTTTCCTGTACCCCAAAAAATTACCCAGGGGGTTAGGATTAAAAAAGTGTAAAATGTAACATAACTAAAATTTTGAGAAAAAAGTTAGGGTAGTGGATATTTTTCAAAAAACCCATTTTTCGCGAATTTTAAGTTAGCTACACCCAAGAACACACTAAAATCTACAACATTTCCAAAAATTATTGAAATCGGCCGGTTTTTAAGCATTTTATGGCATAAGACGTTAAGAATTTTCAAAAACATGAGGAAAATGTGGAGTTGGATATACCCCCAGACATGAAATTTTTTATTCGATTTTTATGTGGTTTTTTTACAGAATGGGGTTAGAATAGGTTTTGAAACAAACCATTGAGGGGTTTAGCTACACTCCTAAACCCAATATTAAACCCGCTAACCCCGTTCGTTATCAAGACCAAATGACTTATGTTACAATTTACGCTTTTGATTTTTCAGACCCTAGGGTTACCTATTTAAACCTAGGGTTAGGTATACATAGCAATTTATTTTAGTTAATTGGGCCGAAAACTACTAATTAATAATCTCAAATAATTCCTAAAACACTTTAAAAATAATATAAAAAGTCTTAAAAGTTATGTTACAAAAAGTGTCATTAAGACGCTAATTATCTCCATATATTTCATGCCTCTTGGGTTTCATTTTGTCAACAATCTTACGTATTGAATCTGCAGGCTATTATTTTCTAGTATATGTAATACATCAGAATTAATTTGCTAGGATGTGTTATCATGTGTGATTTATTTGAATTATCTTGTATTTATAGTAGTTTTTCTTTATGTTTTTTTTGTAGTAAATCGTCATTGTCTCGTCAAACGTCATATTTCTACGTCAAACATCATTTCTACGTATTTGAACGTCATACATCATTCATCGTCATTTGTTATTGCAACCTCATTTACCAGCTATCATCACCCTCATCAATAAAATCTGTGACGCATTTACAATGAGTTTCCTTACTTTCCATAGCCAGTACAAAATATTTACAATTTAGAAGATGAAGGAAGGAGATGAGGGTAAGATAAAGGAGAATCAGCCCAGAAGAAGTGAAAGAGAAAAAAGGATGACTGAAAAAGGTGCTGAATTTATTTTAGAAAATATACTCAAAAATAGAGAAAAATAATTCAAGATTTTATCAACATTAAGTGATAATTTAAAAGAACTGTTAGAATCATCAGAGGATAAAGATACCATCAAGAGTGCATACAGTAAATGGTTAGACAGGTACAAGGAGTTTCTAGTGTCTCAGGATGAAGTGAAAGCGTGGCTTTCTCCTAGCGAACAGACTTTAGATGAAGACAAATTTAGAAGAAGAGATGAACAACTAATGGAAGTAAAAGAGTCAGTCGAGAAGTGGTTTTCAAGACAGTCAAAGAATGGAACTGGAATACACCTTTTGTGACTCAGTGTACTTCATCACATGTGCCTGTTAGTGTGTCTACATGTACGCCACATAGTATTCCTTACATTCCTATGTCAACACAACATAGTACACCTTATGTACCTGCGTTATCAACATTCAGTGACTTATACAATTCTGGACGTGCGCAAAATCATAATCGTGACCATGAAGGCCTACTTATAGTAGCACAAGAACTAAATAAACCTAAATCAGAAATACAGAAGTTTGAAGGGAATCCAATGGACTATCAAAGATTCATTAGACAGTTTAATACAAAGGTGTGTGCTAATACCAGCTCATATGAGGAACGTTTGAACTTTCTCCTGCAATTTACCAGTTTTGAAGCTAATAGAATAGTGACTGGATATTCACACTTAAATGCTGAAGGAGGATACAAGGCTGCATTGGATGAATTCAAAGATCGATATGGTGATCCAGACATTGTTGCGCAAGCTTATGTGAGAAAAGCCTTGAACTGGTCATCAATAAAACAAGACAATGCTAGGGGACTTGATGACTATGCAATATTTCTTACCGAGTGTCAACATGCTGTTAATAATGTAACCAGCGCTAGAGCCCTAGAATATCCAGAGAACATGAAACTGATTATAAAGAAACTTCCGTTCTACTTACAAGAAAAGTGGCGAAATGTTGTGTATGAGCTCAAGGACAGAAGAGAAGTTCTGAAGTTCGAGAACTTAGTGAAGTTTGTTCGTAAAGAATCTAAAAAGGCCAACGACCCTATCTATGGGAGAGAAGTGATGAATACCTCAACATCTTCGGCACATGGACAGAATGTTAAACCAGCCACATTCTCAAAACAGAAGAGGAACTTTGCAGCTAAAGCTGTAGAGTGTCATCTATCTATAAACAATTATGCGTCTGAACAACCTAAACCAAAATCACCTGCATTTGTGAGAACCATGTATTTTACTGTCTAGGCACCTCACATGCATTGGAAGAGTGCAGGAACATCATGAAGCTACCTCTAAAGGACAGATATGAAGTGTTGAAGTCAAAGGGATTGTGTTTCTCGTGTTTGAGATCTGGACATCTTAAGGGAGCCTGTCAACACAAATCGTACTGTGTCCATTGTAAGAAGTGTCATCTATCTATACTTCATGTGAATCCTCGACAAAGCAATGGAAATCCAGTGACTACTGATAAAAACAACAACAGCTTTTCATTACCATCTGCAGCCGTATCTTCAACAGCGCATATGGGGGCTGGGGACTCTGTGAGCCAAGCGCTTCCAGTAATACCCGTACGAGTGAAATCAAGAAACAGTGACAAATTTATTATTACTTATGCTTTCTTGGATTCCGGGAGTACAGCGACATTTTGTACAAAGGAAGTCGCAAGATCACTTCACATAGAAGGTAAAAAGACTGTGCTTAACTTAACAACTATGGGACAGCAGAGGACAGAAAACTGTTGCATTCTATCTGGTCTTGAAGTGAGTGATTTGAATGGTGATAACACAATTGACTTACCGCCTATATACACTCAACCAGATTTACCCATATCTAAGAAAGACATTGTTACATCAGAGGACCTACAAAGATGGCCACATCTGCGTGATGTGCATATTGATACCATAGATAGTTATGTTGGTTTGTTGATTGGTGTCAATGTTTCTAAAGGAATGGAGCCATGGGATGTGATTTCTAGTGTAGAAAAAGGTCCGTTCGCTGTAAAGACTCTGTTAGGATGGGTAATCAATGGAGCACTTGATACAAGATCAGAGAATGGTACTTACAGTACATACATTACAGTCAACCGCATAGACGCAAGATTAGAAGAGCAAGTGAGATATCAATTCAATCACGACTTTAGTGAGAGAGCTATTGATGATGTTCCAGAGCCGTCAAGGGACGACAAAAGATTTCTCGACTTTGTGACAAATTCAGTTCGCATTTAAAATGGACATTATGTCATTCGTTTACCATTCAAATCAGAAAATGTGATAATGCCAAACAACAGAAAACAAGCAGAACAGAGACTGAATTCGTTGTCTAGGAAACTTTGCAGTGACAGTGAATTCCATGACAATTATAAAGCTTTCATGGACAAAATTATTAGCGAATGCTATGCACGAAAGGTACCTATTGAAGACTTAAATCAAGATGATGGACATGTTTGGTATTTACCACATCATGGTGTACTACATCCCAAGAAGAAGAAACTTCGAGTTGTGTTTGACTGTGCAGCGAGGTTCCAAGGGACTTCACTTAATGAACAGATATTACTGGGCCCTAACTTGATAAACACACTCATTGGGAATTTGTTGGGATTTAGAGAGGAGGAGATTTCTATTATGGGGGATATCGATAGTATGTTCTACCAAGTACGAGTTCCTCCACATGATGCTACTTTTCTACGATTTCTCTGGTGGAACGATGGAAATCCTTCCAGTAGTATTATTGAATACCAGATGGTTGTGCATTTGTTTGGAGCCACGTCGTCACCAAGTTGTGCCAACTTTTGTTTACGAAAAACTGCTCGAGATTGGACAGGACATTTTAGTGATGAGACAATAAAGACAGTTCTTCAGAATTTCTATGTTGATGATTGTCTCAAGTCTGTGAATTCTGTAAGAAATGCTGTGATATTGGTGAAAGAGCTACAAGGACTGTTAGAAAGTGGAGGATTTCACATTTCGAAGTGGATCAGCAACAGTCGTGAGGTCATGAATTCAATACCAGTATCGGATAGAGCCAAGGAGGTCAAGGACTTGGATCTTGACTACGATACTCTACCGATAGAGCGAGCCCTCGGCATCCAGTGGTGTGTGAATTCTGATATCTTTCAGTTTAAACTGGACTTTAACAAGAAACCACTTGCAAGGCGAGGAATTCTGTCAATGGTAAGCGGTGTGTTTGATCCACTGGGATTTTTAGCTCCACTACTTCTCAAGGCGAAAATCATTCTGCAGGAATTGTGCAAGCTTCAGTTTGGATGGGATGATAAGATTCCAGATGACATTGCTTTTCAGTGGAATAATTGGTATCAGGATCTTGAGAAATTGAAAGACTTCAAAGTGGACAGATGTCTTAAACCCCATGGTTTTCATCCACTCATGGTACAGTTACATCATTTTTCTGACGCAAGTGAAACTGGTTATGGTACAGTGTCCTACTTGTGGATGGAAAACGCCTGTGGTGAACGTCATTGTTCCTTTATTATGGGCAAATCTCGTGTAGCACCACTGAAGCAAACAACCATTCCGCGATTGGAGTTGACAGCAGCTACGGTAGCAGTGAGAACCAATAAGATGTTACTAAGGGAGTTGAACATTCCTGTTGATTGTGTTACATACTGGACTGACAGCATGACCGTTTTACGATATATACAGAACAGTACAGCAAGATTTCATACTTTCGTCGCTAACAGGCTAGCAGTAATCCATGAAGGGTCACAACCAACTGATTGGAGATACATTAACACAAAGTTGAATCCAGCTGATCACGCATCTAGAGGTATCTCAGCAGATGGCGTACTGAAACAAAAGAACTGGGTTAAAGCCCCAAACTTCCTGTTTGAACCGGAAGATAATTGGCCAATGTCACCTTCACAGCTTACTAACAGAGAACTGTTGGATAGCGACCCAGAGGTGAAAAAAGTTACTGTAAAAGCAGTTATCACAAAATCACAGGAATTAAAAGAGGATACTACAGACTGTGTGAACAAGCTGTTTCAGTATTATTCGTCATGGTATTCATTGAAACGTAGTGTGGCCTGGATTTTGAAAGTACGAAAAGAACTGTTAAGACGTGCTAATGTGAAAAGACTCAATTCTCATGCAATAGTGCAGGACTATTCGTATGACAAGACTGTCATTTCATATCAGGATCTGAAAGAAGCAGAAAGAACTATACTTGCTTTCATTCAACGACAGGAATTTCTTACAGAAATAAATACCCTTGAGTCAGGAAACTCTCGTGTTAGTCATGGTAGCAGAGTCAGGAGCCTGGATCCGTTCTTAGATGCTGGACTTTTGCGAGTTGGTGGTCGCTTACACAAGTCAAGTTTTCCAGTGGAGATGAAACACCAAGTGATTTTACCAAAACATCATCATGTGTCTACCTTAATTATCAGACAAATTCATCAAGACCTATTACACAGTGGCAGAAATCACATGTTATCTAAATTAAGAGAAAAATATTGGCTTATTCATGCTCCTTCTGTAATTCGAAAAGTCATATCAAAGTGTGTTACTTGTCGACGACAGAGGTCAAAGGTCGGAGAGCAAAAGATGGGAAGTCTACCCAAGGATCGCCTTACACCAGATGAATCACCATTTAGCCGTGTTGGAGTTGATTACTTTGGACCTTTTGAAGTAAAAGTGAAACGGAGCCGTGTTAAGCGCTATGGTGTCATTTTCACTTGCCTTGCTAGTCGGGCCGTGCATTTGGAAGTTGCGGCTTCATTAGATACAGACTGTTACATAAATGCCCTGCGCCGTTTTATTGCAAGAAGAGGACAAGTTAAGAAAATACGTTCTGACAATGGAACTAACTTTGTTGGTGCCGAACGTGAGCTTAAAAGATCCATACAAGAATGGAACCAAGCCCAAATTCAATCTGCAATGTTACAGAAGAATGTAGACTGGCAGTTCAACCCACCAGCAGGATCACATCATGGTGGTGTGTGGGAGAGGATAATCAGAACTATCCGCAAAGCCATGAATAGTGTTCTAAAGGAGCAGATACTTGATGATGAAGGACTTCATACCCTAATGTGTGAAATTGAATATACAGTCAATGACCGACCAATAACAAAGAACATCGATCAACACTGTGACTTGGAGCCTCTTGCACCAAATCATTTGCTTTTGATGAAGAGGAAACCTAACCTTCCTCCAGGAGTCTTCGATAAGACAGATGTGTACCACAGACGACGTTGGAGACAGATACAATATATGGCTAACCTGTTCTGGCATCGTTGGGTACGCGAGTACCTACCACTTCTCCAGGAACGACAGAAATGGCATAATATCAAGAGGAACTTTCAAATCGGTGATATTGTGTTAGTCGTAGATTCGAACGCCCCAAGAAACTCTTGGCCGATGGGAGTAGTGCATGAGACAATTCCCGACAGAAACGGACTTGTGCGTCAGGTGAAAGTGAAAACTGCGACAAACATTTTAAGGCGCCCTGTGGACAAACTTTGCATGATCTTAGAGATGGACTAAGAGACTGAGTTGTGTTATTCCTAGAGACACTTTGTATACATGGTTCATCTTAATTTGTCATGTTTTGAATTTTGCTAGGTACTACTGTTTATTAGGTGCATGTATTTTTTTTGATGAACATTTTGTACAGTTTAAACTGCTTAACGTGCATTGTATTTTTATGCAGTTTTTTGGTTTTGGATATAATGTATCTATTTATGTAATTGTGTCACATTTGTTCCACAATTAGGGGGCTGGATTGTTACGGCCATTTTCGGTAATTAGACTTTTCACTGCACTTGTGATGTGACGTCATCATTTTTGGGGCACAGTATTTCTTTGTGTAGAGCTCGTGATATTATGGCAGGACGCGGCAGGCCGCAGGGCTAGGTGCCTGCAGTATTTATTACTAGTTTTTTTTTAGTTTTCCAGTCATCTTTGTACTGATACAGCTGATATTTATGTCACTGGAGGAAACTTCTAAATTGGTGAGTGTTACATTGTTTATCGTTTAGCTGTATATACTGTGCATTTGTATATCTTGATAAATTTTGTATATTTATTAATATCGGTATAAAGTTATTGTTTTAAAGTATCTGTGCACCTATACTCAACTTTATTATTTATAATGCATTAGTATGTTAGGAAGTTAGGTACGTTATTGACATACATCTGATATCGCTGGATATGTGCACATTTATTATGTACGGGAGATAACTCCATTTGTGCCATATTTCCTATCAAGATCTGTTTTAATCAAGAGTTATGCCTCTTGACTTTTCATTTTGTCAACAATCTTACGTATTGAATCTGCAGAGGCTATTATTTTCTAGTAATGTAATACATCAGAATTAATTTGCTAGGATTTGTTATCATGTGTGATTTATTTGAATTATCTTGTATTTATAGTAGTTTTTCTTTATTTTTTTGTAGTAAATCGTCATTGTCTCGTCAAACGTCATATTTCTACGTCAAACATCATTTCTACGTATTTGAACGTCATACATCATTCATCGTCATTTGTTATTGCAACCTCATTTACCAGCTATCATCACCCTCATCAATAAAATCTGTGACGCATTTACAATGAGTTTCCTTACTTTCCATAGCCAATACAAAATATTTACAATTTAGAAGATGAAGGAAGGAGATGAGGGTGAGGCAAAGGAGAATCAGCCCAGAAGAAGTGAAAGAGAGAAAAGGATGACTGAAAAAGGTGCTGAATTTACTTTAGAAAATAAACTCAAAAATAGAGAAAAATAATTCAAGATTTTATCAACATTAAGTGATAATTTAAAAGAACTGTTAGAATCATCAGAGGATAAAGATACCATCAAGACTGCATATAGTAAATGATTGGACAAGTATGAGGAGTTTCTAGTGTCTCAGGATGAAGTGAAAGCGTGGTTTTCTCCGAGCGAACAGACTTTAGATGAAGACAAATTTAGATGAAGAGATGAACAACTAATGGAAGTAAAAGAGTCAGTCGAGAAGTGGTTTTCAAGACAGTCAAAGAGTGGAACTGGAATACACCTTTTGTGACTCAGTGTACTTCATCACATGTGCCTGTTAGTGTGTCTACATGTACGCCACATAGTATTCCTTACATTCCTATGTCAACACAACATAGTACACCTTATGTACCTGCGTTATCAACATTCAGTGACTTATACAATTCTGGACGTGCGCAAAATCATAATCGTGACCATGAAGGCCTACTTATAGTAGCACAAGAACTAAATAAACCTAAATCAGAAATACAAAAGTTTGAAGGGAATCCAATGGACTATCAAAGATTCATTAGACAGTTTAATACAAAGGTGTGTGCTAATACCAGCTCATATGAGGAACGTTTGAACTTTCTCCTGCAATTTACCAGTTTTGAAGCTAATAGAATAGTGACTGGATATTCACACTTAAATGCTGAAGGAGGATACAAGGCTGCATTGGATGAATTCAAAGATCGATATGGTGATCCAGACATTGTTGCGCAAGCTTATGTGAGAAAAGCCTTGAACTGGTCATCAATAAAACAAGACAATGCTAGGGGACTTGATGACTATGCAATATTTCTTACCGAGTGTCAACATGCTGTTAATAATGTAACCAGCGCTAGAGCCCTAGAATATCCAGAGAACATGAAACTGATTATAAAGAAACTTCCGTTCTACTTACAAGAAAAGTGGCGAAATGTTGTGTATGAGCTCAAGGACAGAAGAGAAGTTGTGAAGTTCGAGAACTTAGTGAAGTTTGTTCGTAAAGAATCTAAAAAGGCCAACGACCCTATCTGTGGGAGAGAAGTGATCAATACCTCAACATCTTCGGCACATGGACAGAATGTTAAACCAGCCACATTCTCAAAACAGAAGAGGAACTTTGCAGCTAAAGCTGTAGAGTGTCATCTATCTATAAACAATTATGCGTCTGAACAACCTAAACCAAAATCACCTGCATTTGTGAGAACCATGTATTTTACTGTCTAGGCACCTCACATGCATTGGAAGAGTGCAGGAACATCATGAAGCTACCTCTAAAGGACAGATATGAAGTGTTGAAGTCAAAGGGATTGTGTTTCTCGTGTTTGAGATCTGGACATCTTAAGGAAGCCTGTCAACACAAATCGTACTTTGTCCATTGTAAGAAGTGTCATCTATCTATACTTCATGTGAATCCTCGACAAAGCAATGGAAATCCAGTGACTACTGATAAAAACAACAACAGCTTTTCATTACCATCTGCAGCCGTATCTTCAACAGTGCATATGGGGGCTGGGGACTCTGTGAGCCAAGCGCTTCCAGTAATACTCGTACGAGTGAAATCAAGAAACAGTGACAAATTTATTATTACTTATGCTTTCTTGGATTCCGGGAGTACAGCGACATTTTGTACAGAGGAAGTCGCAAGATCACTTCACATAGAAGGTAAAAAGACTGTGCTTAACTTAACACCTATGGGACAGCAGACGACAGAAAACTGTCGCATTCTATCTGGTCTTGAAGTGAGTGATTTGAATGGTGATAACACAATTGACTTACCGCCTATATACACTCAACCAGATTTACCCATATCTAAGAAACACATTGTTACATCAGAGGACCTACAAAGATGGCCACATCTGCGTGATGTGCATATTGATACCATAGATAGTTATGTTGGTTTGTTGATTGGTGTCAATGTTTCTAAAGGAATGGAGCCATGGGATGTGATTTCTAGTGTAGAAAAAGGTCCGTTCGCTGTAAAGACTCTGTTAGGATGGGTAATCAATGGACCACTTGATACAAGATCAGAGAATGGTACTTACAGTACATACATTACAGTCAACCGCATAGACGCAAGATTAGAAGAGCAAGTGAGATATCAATTCAATCACGACTTTAGTGAGAGAGCTATTGATGATGTTCCAGAGCCGTCAAGGGACGACAAAAGATTTCTCGACTTTGTGACAAATTCAGTTCGCATTTAAAATGGACATTATGTCATTGGTTTACCATTCAAATCAGAAAATGTGATAATGCCAAACAACAGAAAACAAGCAGAACAGAGACTGAATTCGTTGTCTAGGAAACTTTGCAGTGACAGTGAATTCCATGACAATTATAAAGCTTTCATGGACAAAATTATTAGCGAATGCTATGCACGAAAGGTACCTATTGAAGACTTAAATCAAGATGATGGACATGTTTGGTATTTACCACATCATGGTGTACTACATCCCAAGAAGAAGAAACTTCGAGTTGTGTTTGACTGTGCAGCGAGGTTCCAAGGGACTTCACTTAATGAACAGATATTACAGGGCCCTAACTTGACAAACACACTCATTGGGACTTTGTTGGGATTTAGAGAGGAGGAGATTGCTATTATGGGGGATATCGATAGTATGTTCTACCAAGTACGAGTTCCTCCACATGATGCTACTTTTCTACGATTTCTCTGGTGGAACGATGGAAATCCTTCCAGTAGTATTATTGAATACCAGATGGTTGTGCATTTGTTTGGAGCCACGTCGTCACCAAGTTGTGCCAACTTTTGTTTACGAAAAACTGCTCGAGATTGGACAGGACATTTTAGGGATGAGACAATAAAGACAGTTCTTCAGAATTCCTATGTTGATGATTGTCTCAAGTCTGTGAATTCTGTAAGAAATGCTGTGATATTGGTGAAAGAGCTACAAGGACTGTTAGAAAGTGGAGGATTTCACATTTCGAAGTGGATCAGCAACAGTCGTGAGGTCATGAATTCAATACCAGTATCGGATAGAGCCAAGGAGGTCAGGGGCTTGGATCTTGACTACGATACTCTACCGATAGAGCGAGCCCTCGGCATCCAGTGGTGTGTGAATTCTGATATCTTTTAGTTTAAACTGGACTTTAACAAGAAACCACTTGAAAGGCGAGGAATTCTGTCAATGGTAAGCGGTGTGTTTGATCCACTGGGATTTTTAGCTCCACTACTTCTCAAGGCCAAAATCATTCTGCAGGAATTGTGCAAGCTTCAGTTTGGATGGGATGATAAGATTCCAGATGACATTGCTTTTCAGTGGAATAATTGGTATCAGGATCTTGAGAAATTGAAAGACTTCAAAGTGGACAGATGTCTTAAACCCCATGGTTTTCATCCACTCATGGTACAGTTACATCATTTTTCTGACGCAAGTGAAACTGGTTATGGTACAGTGTCCTACTTGTGGATGGAAAACGCCTGTGGTGAACGTCATTGTTCCTTTAGTATGGGCAAATCTCGTGTAGCACCACTGAAGCAAACAACCATTCCGCGATTGGAGTTGACAGCAGCTACGGTAGCAGTGAGAACCAATAAGATGTTACTAAGGGAGTTGAACATTCCTGTTGATTGTGTTACATACTGGACTGACAGCATGACCGTTTTACGATATATACAGAACAGTACAGCAAGATTTCATACTTTCGTCGCTAACAGGCTAGCAGTAATTCATGAAGGGTCACAACCAACTGATTGGAGATACATTAACACAAAGTTGAATCCAGCTGATCACGCATCTAGAGGTATCTCAGCAGATGGCGTACTGAAACAGGAGAACTGGGTTAAAGCCCCAAACTTCCCGTTTGAACCGGAAGATAATTGGCCAATGTCACCTTCACAGCTTACTAACAGAGAACTGTTGGATAGCGACCCAGAGGTGAAAAAAGTTACTGTAAAAGCAGTTATCACAAAATCACAGGAATTAAAAGAGGATACTACAGACTGTGTGAACAAGCTGTTTCAGTATTATTCGTCATGGTATTCATTGAAACGTAGTGTGGCCTGGATTTTGAAAGTACGAAAAGAACTGTTAAGACGTGCTAATGTGAAAAGACTCAATTCTCATGCAATAGTGCAGGGCTATTCGTATGACAAGACTGTCATTTCATATCAGGATCTGAAAGAAGCAGAAAGAACTATACTTGCTTTCATTCAACGACAGGAATTTCTTACAGAAATAAATACCCTTGAGTCAGGAAACTCTCGTGTTAGTCATGGTAGCAGAGTCAGGAGCCTGGATCCGTTCTTAGATGCTGGACTTTTGCGAGTTGGTGGTCGCTTACACAAGTCAAGTTTTCCAGTGGAGATGAAACACCAAGTGATTTTACCAAAACATCATCATGTGTCTACCTTAATTATCAGACAAATTCATCAAGACCTATTACACAGTGGCAGAAATCACGTTATCTAAATTAAGAGAAAAATATTGGCTTATTCATGCTCCTTCTGTAATTCGAAAAGTCATATCAAAGTGTGTTACTTGTCGACGACAGAGGTCAAAGGTCGGAGAGCAAAAGATGGGAAGTCTACCCAAGGATCGCCTTACACCAGATGAATCACCATTTAGCCGTGTTGGAGTTGATTACTTTGGACCTTTTGAAGTAAAAGTGAAACGGAGCCGTGTTAAGCGCTATGGTGTCATTTTCACTTGCCTTGCTAGTCGGGCTTCATTAGATACAGACTGTTACATAAATGCCCTGCGCCGTTTTATTGCAAGAAGAGGACAAGTTAAGAAAATACGTTCTGACAATGGAACTAACTTTGTTGGTGCCGAACGTGAGCTTAAAAGATCCATACAAGAATGGAACCAAGCCCAAATTCAATCTGCAATGTTACAGAAGAATGTAGACTGGCAGTTCAACCCACCAGCAGGATCACATCATGGTGGTGTGTGGGAGAGGATAATCAGAACTATCCGCAAAGCCATGAATAGTGTTCTAAAGGAGCAGATACTTGATGATGAAGGACTTCATACCCTAATGTGTGAAATTGAATATACAGTCAATGACCGACCAATAACAAAGAACATCGATCAACACTGTGACTTGGAGCCTCTTGCACCAAATCATTTGCTTTTGATGAAGAGGAAACCTAACCTTCCTCCAGGAGTCTTCGATAAGACAGATGTGTACCACAGACGACGTTGGAGACAGATACAATATATGGCTAACCTGTTCTGGCATCGTTGGGTACGCGAGTACCTATCACTTCTCCAGGAACGACAGAAATGGCATAATATCAAGAGGAACTTTCAAATCGGTGATATTGTGTTAGTCGTAGATTCGAACGCCCCAAGAAACTCTTGGCCGATGAGAGTAGTGCATGAGACAATTCCCGACAGAAACGGACTTGTGCGTCAGGTGAAAGTGAAAACTGCGACAAACATTTTAAGGCGCCCTGTGGACAAACTTTGCATGATCTTAGAGATGGACTAAGAGACTGAGTTGTGTTATTCCTAGAGACACTTTGTAAACATGGTTCATCTTAATTTGTCATGTTTTGAATTTTGCTAGGTACTACTGTTTATTAGGTGCATGTATTATTTTTGATGAACATTTTGTACAGTTTAAACTGCTTAACGTGCATTGTATTTTTATGCAGTTTTTTGGTTTTGGATATAATGTATCTATTTATGTAATTGTGTCACATTTGTTCCACAATTAGGGGGCTGGATTGTTACGGCCATTTTTGGTAATTAGACTTTTCACTGCACTTGTGATGTGACGTCATCATTTTTGGGGCACAGTATTTCTTTGTGTAGAGCTCGTGATATTATGGCAGGACGCGGCAGGCCGCAGGGCTAGGTGCCTGCAGTATTTATTACTAGTTTTTTTTAGTTTTCAAGTCATCTTTGTACTGGTACAGCTGATATTTATGTCACTGGAGGAAACTTCTAAATTGGTGAGTGTTACATTGTTTATCGTTTAGCTGTATATACTGTGCATTTGTATATCTTGATAAATTTTGTATATTTATTAATATCGGTATAAAGTTATTGTTTTAAAGTATCTGTGCACCTATACTCAACTTTATTATTTATAATGCATTAGCATGTTAGGAAGTTAGGTACGTTATTGACATACATCTGATATCGCTGAATATGTGCACATTTATTATGTACGGGAGATAACTCCATTTGTGCCATATTTCCTATCACGATCTGTTTTAATCAAGAGTTATGCCTCTTGACTTTCATTTTGTCAACAATCTTACGTATTGAATCTGCAGAGGCTATTATTTTCTAGTATATGTAATACATCAGAATTAATTTGCTAGGATGTGTTATCATGTGTGATTTATTTGAATTATCTTGTATTTATAGTAGTTTTTCTTTATTTTTTTGTAGTAAATCGTCATTGTCTCGTCAAACGTCATATTTCTACGTCAAACATCATTTCTACGTATTTGAACGTCATACATCATTCATCGTCATTTGTTATTGCAACTTCATTTACCAGCTATCATCACCCTCATCAATAAAATCTGTGACGCATTTACAATGAGTTTCCTTACTTTCCATAGCCAGTACATGTACTGTAATTTCCAAAACTGGTTCTATTCCTAAGAAGGTGTCGCCTAGCATCGTAACTTTAGAAACTGCAACAGATGTATGAACAAATATTATAAGGAATGGAAAAATCATAAAAATTCCTTGTATCAAGGTTGACATGGTTTTCTTGCACTCTAAACTGTTTATGATAATTGAACAATATTTGATGGGCGTATCATGCTGTGTCGGGGCACTTTATTAAAAGATGCCATTAATTTTTACTAATTCTTAATTATCTCCCCTTGGAAAAAGAATTGGCCCTTCATTTGAACAAACTTGAATCACCGTTAAAAAAGGATACTTTGCCATTCATGAATCTTGTGAGCTTCATCAATGCATATACTGCATAAATGTTCCCTAAAAACGGCTTTGAAGAATCAGGATGAGCGTAGATAAGTTTATACTGCCCATGGTTAACATCCGTAATGGAGACGTGAAGTAGCTCATCATTATCTATATCATCAACATCACCACCCTCATTTCCACCATCAGTATCATTATCACTTGCATCTGCTGAATCTAGAAAAATATTTACAAGCAAAATAAATTTGTTTGCCTCATTACCACCCTTATTTCTGTATTAGATAGAGAACAATACATAATCTTTTTCATATCACAACTGATATCAGCCGGAGACACCAATATCAGCTCGAGAGCCAGAGGTCCGAGAGCTGATATTGGTCTCGGGCTGATATGGGGTCTGATATGGAAAAGAGTATGTCTTTTTGTTAAGCTTACTATATATTTCTTATATAATACAGGATTTTTTGCATCCCTGATGTGAAAACAGACACTTGCCCTCTATTACACACCGTGTCACACTCTTTATTACACCTTTTCGGAACACCTCTGTACTTTTCATTTGGATTACGTATTTTTCTATTCTTGTCTTGTTTGTTTAATATGGGTTTTTATGTCCCAGTTGATTCAATACGCAAGAGCATGTTCCAAAATGAGGCAAGGTATTGATAAATAAGTTGATGTATCAAGGATATCAACAGTCTCCTTTAAAGTCATCATTTGGCAAGTTTTATGGTCAATGCAGTGACCTTTTCAGCAAATACACTCTATCATTAAAGACCAATTTTTTTACCTTACGGTTACCTGAGGAGAGGGAGTGGTCTTATTAGTACAGATGTTATTTACCTGGAGGGCCCTAATACTCAAGATGCCAAAAATTCATATACACAGTGCATTATACAGGAAGTCTTTCTGGTGATCAGGGTCAACATTACACACGTCTCTTGTCTCACTCTGAGATAAACAGTGGTGAAACCAAATAATACTGTTGCATAAGTTGGTATTCAAAAAATATGTATAAAGAAAAGTCTCTCTAAAAATTATATTTTTTTTTAAATTTGAATGTAGGCTACAACACAATATCAATGACATATTTTAACTGTCAGTAAAAAAAAATTACAAGGTACGTTTTATGTATAAATATTGAAAAAAAGTTCCATTTCTTTTGAAGAGGTTCAAAATAGTTAACTTAAATGAAGCATCACTTTTTTAACATTTGAAATTCTTTCAAACATTCCAAATAATCCTGAATATAATTATCAATTATTGAGGTTTGTAACAAGTCCACTCTAACTGAATCAACGAGTATAAATCTGGTTAGTCATTTTGACAGTATTACCGACATAAAAAGTTAGAAGGGTTTCTATCACATCCCCAGCTACAAGAAAGATGTAGCATGGGTGTTAAAAGATTTACAAGAAGGAAATTCAGGACCGATTTTTTAGCTCACCTGTCCTGCATCCGTTTGTCTATAGACTTTTCACGTAAGCAAGTTCTTTTCTAGATGAAATATGTGGGGATACCGAACAGTATTCGAGCTCAAAAGTCAAGATATTACAAAATAGGAGCGGAGCAATCACGGACCTCCAACACATCAGAGGTGGGATCAGGTGCCATGGAGGAGTGAGCATCCCCTGCCGACCAGTCGCACCCACCGTGTGCTCCTTTTCATGTTCGGGAAAAAAAAAACGGAAAAAATCAACTCGATGTGTATATAATGGCCTATCTTCTTAATAACCAGTTGACTAGAAAAACCTTAATTTATTAGGAAGTTTTTTGACGCAGTGTAGATTCTAAAGTTTTCAAATCATGGCCTCCGGGGAAAGCCACAATAAGGAATGATAGTTTTAAATTGAAATACATAGAAAAAAGTATTTAAAAATCTTCACCGCTTTAGATGACAAGAAAAGCTTTAACCTATTTTGAAACCCCTTGAGGTGGTTTAGGTTCTAAATTGTTCATTTTTTTAGATCCATTTTTGTTTAAATCATGGATTCAACATTAGACTTTCTACACAGAGAAAATGTCTAAAATGTTCCTCTTCGTGAACTGGACTGGGTGTATACCAAACAAACAACACAAACACCTGTAATTACAACATCACTAACTCATCTTATTCTTCGTCAAGAGATTTATATTCACTTTCTTGCTGCGTGTTTAACATTGGCTTATTTAACCTTTTTTTTTCACTGGCAGTAGTTTACATTTATTACAAGTACATTTAGCTGCACAATTAACACAAATGTAGGGTCCAAAGAATATGTCTTTAACTTCTTTTCCTCCAAAACGTTTTATAGCAGACAAAGTCGTCACTCGAGGGCATTCCTTTATCAAACGAATTTTCTTTATGGCTCCATAAGCTAATCTTTTATGATACGAATTCATGAATTTTACTACACGTATATCAATGGCATCTTGTCTCTTCCTATTTCCTGAATAAAGTCAGAGCAGTTTGTCTGCGCGCAAAACAAAATGACACTGTGGAAGACTATAACATCTATTCCCATTCCTAATGTACTTGTCGAAATTACAGTTCGTAGAGCACTGTCACACACATGTTC